GCAATATGTCTATGGAGATCAACAGCAATTGGACTTTCTGGTTTTGTTTTTTTTAATGTTTCACTTCTCTTCCAAAAAGCTTCTTCAGCTCTGACTGGATGGTGGGCGAATGGAAGAATACAGACAGAGCTGAAGAAGCTTTTTGGAAGAGAAGTGAAACATTAAAAAAAACAAAACCAGAAAGTCCAATTGCTGTTGATCTCCATAGACATATTGCAATGCTGTTTTTCAGGAGAAACATTGGAAAAGGGGGAACATAAAAGAACATAAACATGCTGATTTTTCCAGAAAACATGAAAGGGGAACTTCCCTAAAGTATTTGGAGACAGAATCAGCCCTTTCATTTTTGCTAATTCCTTATAATGTCCAGGATTTTATAAAGAAAATAACAATTTCAAGGATAGACTTGAAGACACTCAGAAAATTATTTTGAAAGCAGCAAGAACAAAAAATTAAATTCTGACTTAGCACCACTACTACGTAAATATTATGTGTGAGTGAATTTGCAATGATTTCATCAGGCTTTTGCCTAAAGGAATATTTCATATTTTATTGGGAAAGTGGGCTGGAAAATGAGGTTTTATGTTTATACAAACTCCAGATAATGTATCTTGAAGAATATTATTCACAAGATAGCATAAACATCATTTTCAGCATAAAAATCTTCACTCATACCAAACTGAAGAATAACATTTAATAACACTTAATGTGAGTGCATAGAACCCTTTTAAATCAGTAAATCCACAGATCACCAGTTCATTTTTGTTCATTTTCAGAAAAAAAATCCACAAAGAGCTTCCAGTCTTTTATAAAAGTAGTTATTGCACCTTTCCTAATCAAATAAGTCAAATTTAAATGAACTTTAATCAAAACTATCTGAGAATGATCAAAGTACTAGATTAATGGCTGTATCTTATATTATCTGAATAACATATCTGCATTTATTTGGAATAGTAACCTAAAAGTCAGTGACTAGCATGTTGTATATATTACACTCATGACCATGAGCTAATTCTGCTTACTATGGCCCAAAGGTACGACAATAAGCATTTTTAAAGGCCAAGTCATCATTATGTCAATCGTGTCTTTCCCTAAACTTCTACAGAAAGATTTCATCTTTAGTTGCTCTGGTATGAAAAAAAAGTTTTGCTTTCTCCTTCCAACACAAAACTTGTTATAAGGACAATATAGGACACTAACTACAAGTAAATGGTTAGTCCGCTAGTGAGAAACAATGGCAAAAAGGAAATGGGCAGCAGGGAGAAGGCAGAACTGTTTAATTCCTTTCTTGCACCTGTCTTTTGCATCTGGAAAAGATATTCAAGGAGAGGATTTATGAGCACCTAGAAATACAAGGTTATTCCTAGAAGCCAGCGTGGATTTATTAATAACAGGTCATGCCAAACAACTCTTATTGTCTTTTTTAATAAAGTGATTAAATTACTGGACCAAGGAAATGCTGTGGATGTAATATACTTATTAGATTTCATTAAGACATTTAATAAAGCAGACCAGCTCCTGCTTGGTAAGATAAAATAATGTGGGATAGATGGTACCACTTCCAGATGGATTTGTAGTTGGCTGACTTAACCACACTCAGCGTGTGGTCCTCAATAGAGGTGTATTTATGTGGAGAGAAGTATGCAGTGGGATTAATCAAGGTTTTGTCCTGGACTTTGCAGACAGAGATCTAACCTGGAAATAAGAAGGAATTTCCTGACCGTGGAAATAATTAATCCATGAAACAGCTTGCCTCCCAGAGTTGTGGGTGTTCCACTGCTGGAAGGTTTCAAGGAAAGATTGGACAATCATTTGTCCAGGATGGTTTATTAAGTAGAATAGCTTGCTTCCTGGAGTTGTGGATGCTCCATTGCTGGAGGTTTTCAAGGAAAGATTGGACAATCATTTGTCCAGGATGGTTTATTAAGTAGAATAGCTTGCTTCCTGGAGTTGTGGATGCTCCATTGCTGGAGGTTTTCAAGGAAAGATTGGACAATCATTTGTCTGAGATGGTGAGAGGACTATGAGGAATCACAATACCCGTGAAACTCCTGATTAACACTTTTATGTCAGTACTAAATTCCTCTCCATGCAGTCTTTTGTCAATATTAATTTCAGAATAAAGCGAGATACTTATTCAGCAAATCAGAAGTTTGATTTTCCTCAGCCAACTCACAAACCCCAAACAAACATTTACATTTTCATAATGGAGAAAAATAACCAGCCTGTGAGATAACTGCAAATTGGAAAGAGAAAAAAGCCATCACAGAAGTTAATTGGAATACCCCTGGTTATATTACAGCGGAAAATTTATGTGCAATGGTTCATAATCACATTGGATTGTCCTCCAAAACTTGCCAAAGCTTGTTTGCATCATAACAATCACAGCTAGTCAAATGTCTTCATTGAAAGTCACAAGAAACTGACAGGCACCAAAGTTGTTCAGAAAAGCAGGATATCCAAGAACTTGTGCTACATGTACAATAATTCTATCAGCAGAGGATAAGCAATTTTCATTAATGTTTTCCTTGCACTTACAATTCCTTAATCATCAAAACAATTATCAGATAATATTTAACATACTTCTTCATCATACAGCCCCAACATTCCCTTGTTGTGGGCTTCTGAGTACATGAGGTTCAAACTGCTAAACTTCAGCCATAAACTACCAAATTACAGGTGCCTGATTTACTATTAATCTGTTACTTTGAATAAAAAATATATAGCAATAGCACATAGACTATCTACCGCTTCACAGTGCTTTACAGCCTACCCTAAGCGGTTCACAGAGTCAGCATATTGCAACCAACAATCTGGGTCCTCATTTTATCCACCTCGGAAGGATGGAAGGCTGAGCATATGACCTTCAGATTGGCTTTATATATCAACAGCAGCAGCAACAATAGCAAAATAAACATTAGTAATCCACTCTCCCTCTCTAAAAGAATCTATCACATAATCTCTCCTTGCACACTGGTACAATGTCATGATATCACTTACACCCTCCTCCTCAAAAAAGAAGAGAAGCTCAAATGGTCAAATGGTTGTCCAGGATTAGGATTAAGGTAAGATTAAGATTAAAGGTAGAAGTAGGATTAGAGGAGGTTATGCGGCTGCAAGGGGAACCTGTGAAAGTTACTTGGTGTAATTGGAAGGTGTCATTTTTTAAATGGAAAGGACCTTTTGGATTGATTACACCTATGGCTTATCTCTGGATGTTTGACAGAATGGAAAGAGGTAATGGGAGAAAAGGCTTTCTGGCAAAATAAAGGGATGGAATTCATTCATGACAGTATCAAAGCTATATATCTGAGTATCTCCAGTATTTTTTATCAGGTTTCCAGGTTCAATACAGAAAAGTTTTCACCTATTTCCATGGTGAAAATGATTACTTTGACATTTGTTGTTCAGCTGTTGGGGAAATAGAGGAACAACCACACAGAGAAATACAAGACTTTGAGATCCATGCAGCAGTGCCAGCCAACTTTTTTTTTGGTGTTACTATAATCAGACTTTTCGGATTGACCATCTCAACCAGTTTGGGAACTCCTCAAAATCCCCAGGATTTTTCAAAAATATTTGGTTTCAATATACCGCCCTGAGTCTCGTGAGAGTGGGCGGCATACAAACTAATTAAATAAATATACCTGGAAGAGACCATTTAAACCACAGTTACAGAAAACAACTTCAAAGCATCTATATAATTTCAGAAAAAAATGAAGAAAAAGCAAAGATACATACTTTCTGTTCCATGTACAGAACCCAGTGAAGTCTTTGGCTTTTTGGTCTTCTTTTCCGTTGACTTTAAAGACTCTAAAATTGGAAACAGGTTGCAGGGGGAGGTTAGAATAATTAAGAATCAAATCACCATTTTGAGTTAAAGAGCAATAACTGAAATGAAAAAAGAACTCTAATTTGTGTTTCATTTGATTCTGATTGGGCTAGAAAGCAAATGGAGCTTGTTGGCTGTTGTGATATTTAAACAAAGAGGACTTGGACAGGATACATGAAGAACAGAATGAAAATAGTTTTCTTTGCTCCCCAGGAAATGTTACGATTAGAACTCTTTAAATCTCTAAATTTTAAACATCCATCTTATTACTGTACTCAAAGCATGCATGCAGGTTATTTGGGTTATGTCCCATGTGGAAGGTTATTTTCTATGAAAACATAGGAATCTGCTGAAGAGGACTTAAAATGAAGGGAGTTAGGAAAAATAAAGTCGATTGAACTAATGCTGAAAGAACTGATCAAGTTTCAGTTTTGGAGTAGAGCCACATAAGCTGATATCAGGGTTTTATGCTAAAGACTTCAGGAAAATCAAGACTATTTGCCCGAAGATTACTCACATTATGTATGTTCTATTCAAAAAAAGATGTTTGTATCTCTGTATTATTGTAAAAACGTATTGAACCAGAAGCAATAGTGAAACCAACAGAGCTTGTATATATACTACCCTGTTTTCCCAAAAATAAGACCACCCTGGATAATAAGCCCAATTGAGCTTTTGAGCACATGCGCTAAAATAAGTCCTCCCTGAAAATATTGCAACACAGCAGCAGCCATGAGGTGACCACGCTTGCCATCTCCTGCACCTCAAAAATAATAAGACCTCCCCCAAAATAAGGCCAAGTGCTTATTTTGGGGGGTCAAAAGAAAATAAAACCCTGTCTTATTTTGGGGAAAACATAGTATTAGAAGATATATTCAAGCAAAACAAAATTCTTTTGGTATCAACTATGTCTTCTGTCTTTTGAAGTAATCTTGCATCTTTGATTGCTCTAAATAGACACCGGTGTGCCTGCCTGTGGTAAATAAAAATCAATTTCAAGCATTTAAAACAAAACAAAGGAAAGGGAAGCAAAGAACACAATACAATATTCTACTGGATGGAAATGACTAATCTAATATATCGGACTGGTCAAGCAAGTTACTAATAAGGGCACATGCTACAATAATTTTGATGAACATGAACTGATCTAGGTCTGCTAAGTGCTGACTGGAAACACTATGTCTAATACTTGAAATTCCATGGGGAAAAAAGATATAAGGTAATTTTAAAATTTGGTGACTCTTTGGAAAACAATAGCCGCCTTTATTTCCAGTACAATTTTATAAACAAAATTAGTAACAAAATATTGATATTTCTAGTCTAAATTTAAAACAAAAATGATAATTATTCTGGATATGAGCTACTGTTAACCTCTCAAGTTTCTATTTCAAATATTATAGAAGGATTGGATTTGGCAGAATTTAATAGGATAGCAAAAAACTATTATTAGGAGAACATCATTATACTGGCTGCATTTGTATCCTAGGTATCTTGCTTCTTTGTATGGTAAGTGACCGCATAATTACCTTATAATAAAATAATGGAAACTGAAAAGTGAAGTGCTATGGTACTGTTCTAATTTCATTGTGAGTAAAGGTGACTAATATTCAAAATAAATTTGCATTAAACAACAGCAAGAGCTAATTTGTTCTAATGATGCAACATAACCTTATAAAGCCACTGAGGATCTTGCAATGTATCTTGCAAAAAGCAGGTTTTTATCTGATGCCCTTTGCCAAGATTTTAAATTATCCTCAAATGGCTTAAGAGTTACATGTGAACAGAAAGATGAATTGGGGACACTAAAGAAGGAACATTGTGGACAACCAATATATCTGTGACTAGTAACTGGATCCTCGGAACTGACATTCTGTCAATGTCTTTGGAATTTAGCACATAGCTGTTCACTATCCAATAATGAGGAAGATAGGAAGGCCAGAACCTGAAATAAAGCAACTGTGATGAACGGAACAACTGATTTTTAAAAAGTCAGGGATTCATATTTGCCTTGAGTGTCATCTACACAATTTGTCACAAATTAGTCAGCATTTCTGAGGAATGTTCAGCTAAAGGACCTTGGTGACTACAGTGGTATTGTTCTACACACAGAATGATCTCTGCTGACAGAACTATTTTCCCTCATTTTCCGCTCAAGGCACTTCAGAAACCTATAATCCATAAGGAGAGTCAAAAATTCCTTCAGAGCAGGTTTAGGAAGTCTATAAGAGTTTCAGCTGGAACTGGAAAACTACATGAAATCCCACTATAGGAGGAAAAATCTACAGATAGTCCTCATTTAGTGACTGCTTTGTATAATGACAGTTGGCAGGTATGACCAAGATGAAACAGTAACTTGACCAATCATCAAGCATTTACAACCTTCACAGGTCTGTAAAGCAAAGGAAAGCTGAACTAGGGTTTCAATGCAGTCACAATTTCACTTACCAACTGCTTCACTTAATGACCAAGTTGCTAGTTCCAATTGTGGATGCTAAATGAGGAGCACTTGTACGTGTGTAATGTTTTTCTTCTTCCAATAGTCTAAAACTAAAACATCCAATGATACTGACTGTCAATGAATTCAGAACAGATAAAAGGAAATCTAAAATGCGTAACTAATCTATAGAGTCTAGTGCCATTGGATGTGGTAATGGGTTTAAAAACCAATTAGATAACTAATTAATGAAATGCTTATGAGGGACTATTAATTATTATGATGATTATATAGAACAATCAGATTTTGAAAGAATGAGCTGCTAAGAACAAATTTGGAACAGGATTTCATATTGAAATGTATTTGGTTTTACATTAATTTGTTATATCTTTTACCTTATAAGCAGTGTATGACTTAGCATGATATATGAATCCTGCCAAATTATCCTTTTTGATACAAACAATATTTTAGTGTGATAAATCAAGAGTCTAAATATTAGTTTTGTAATTGACAAAGTAGCCATCACCAAACACATTCAGTCTAATAAACCCCAAAAGAAAGGATGAATGAAAATGAGCTAGATCAGGCCAGGAAACACAAGAACTATTGAAACTCTTATTGTTTTTGGCTATAATAAAAGAATCTTGAAAACTGACATAGATTCTCTCTCTTCCCACTTACACTAAAGGGAATCAAGGCAAGGCAATCTTAAATGTTTTCCTCCCCCACCTCCTTTTGTTTATCTGGGCTAAATTGAGGTTTATATGAATTCCTTCCCCAAGGTCATCTCCAAGCTATTTTATGGAGCACAATAATATAAACTGCTCTAAGTAAACTGGGCAAAAGGCAGGATTTAAGTAAAATAAAATTAATATATTGTCTAAATAAAAAGTCTTAGGGGATAATCTATGCTGCCACAAAAGTTACATGTGCTTTGATTTAATCTTGAGCTGGTTTTGTCTGCTTGCATTAAGAGTGGTGGATGAAAATCAACTAAGAAACAGGCATGCCCAGAACAACAAATAAGCACAGGCTCTGTTCATTATTTTCTTGGTTGATAAATTTCTATCACAGTTCCAATTCAACAACAAAGCATTAAAATAAGAAACATTTCACTTGTTTGTTCTTCACTTCACTTGTGCTATTAGTTTGCTACTATTAAATCTTATCTTCTGTGCAGTAGCTCATCATTTGGTTAAATGAGAGGTGGGTTGCTAATTTTTTTACCCCTGGGGGCCGGCGTCTCCCGCCGCCGCTACTACCGGTTCAGCCGATCCGGGCCGAACTGGCAGCAACCCACCTCTCATTTAACCAAATGATGAGCTACTGCACAGAAGATAAGATTTAATAGTAGCAAACTAATAGCACAAGTGAAGTGAAGAACAAACAAGTGAAATGTTTCTTATTTTAATGCTTTGTTGTTGAATTGGAACTGTGATAGAAATTTATCAACCAAG